CTAGATCATAAATCTTATTTCTGACAATACCTGCAATTGGGCGAATCTGATGTTGTTCATGGTGACAATCACCTGCAGATCATACAAGGCCTCAGCCAAAACTCTAATGGCAAGAAGCTCAAAGAAATTCTGAATGAGACGGCGTTGGACGTTAGAATCATCCTCATTGGTTTCAACAAACCATAATACAGACTGCACTTTTTTCCAAGGAATGAGAACCTTTCCTTTAGTTTCAATGATTGAGTTGGAGGGCTCGCTCAGATTCCATAATATTTTAACATCATTCAGTGAGCCTACTAACTCAGAGGAGTAAGCATGAGGAGTGGTAACAATCAATTTAGTTGGATCATAGAGATGTGAGAGACTAGATGTGAATTTCAGATCCTTGTCACCCAATACAAGAACACAACCAGAGCCAGTTGTAGGTAACATTTGCAGAATAGAATAAGCTGAAACTGCTTTATCTTCTTGAGAGGAATTGATAGATAATGTGATAACAGAATTACTAGGTTCATAGTCGTGGGAAAAGTTGCAAGAAGAACCATTACGACAACCCTGTTCATATGCATCAGCACATTAGATTCAAGATACCAAAAGGAAGTACCATATTCATCACAAGCATCAGTAGTTAAAGCAAATAGAACTTCTAAGATGTGTTTCATGCATTTGGATTTGGAAAAAAAACTTAAATCTCAATGATCCTTCATCAAGTCAAATATAGTATTTTTACAGGAATGAAATTGTATAGAGATTGCCGAACCAAAATTTTCAAAAATGACTCTCAGAGAAACAAGCCCATATATCTTGTTTCATTTGTTGCAATTTGCTTAAATTTAAATGAAACCCTCACAGCAGTGAGAACAACGTGCTTGATCATAAAAGTGAGCATATTCTTGCCGGATTCTGTGACTCACAAGCAGAGGAACAGAACATACCATGTGAAAAATTAAAGTGAAACATTAAACCATAAAGGCTTTGGAATGATTTCATTTGATTTTTTGACTTATGTCCCCAGGAGACAAACATGATCAAATAATACGTGTAACTGTCACATATTGATTTGCAAGGGTGACAGCAATTTCTTTGTTTTTCGAAGTGTGAGGGCATCTAGGAAATTTCAAAATTTTGACGCGCACAAGGAGAGCACCAAAACCAGCAAGGGGCTTTTTCTTAAATATATAGCATAGATTAAAAAAATACAAGAGCAGCATGGCACAGAAAACAGATTAACGTTAGGGGAAAAAATAACTAACCAAGAAATCAGCAGCAGTGCATGTCCATACATAATAATACAAAGATATAAGCTATTATAGTATGAGTTAAAGTAATTCCTTATTGGGGTACCTTCAGTGTAAGGAAGAATTTGCACATCGGCCTTTTGGCCTGAAGAGAGTGAGAAAAGAAACATTGATTTCCTCTGGTGCATGATCCATTAATGAAGTATCGACATAAAGCAACCCCTATGGTGTCTGGAGCTATAGAATTAACAGTTTCATCACTGCTCCAAGTAGTTTCTTTTGTATACAGCATCCGTAACTGACAAAAAATAATAAAAAAACAGAATTATATGTAAACATGATATAAAAGGAGGCATGCAGACCATAATAAGCTTGTAGTCAATGAAAGAATATTGAGAGCCTACAACAATGAAATAGATGCAACACTACCTCTTTGATAACTGATTTCAACTTCTCAAATACAGCAATGGCATGGAAGTCACTGGAAGTAACATATGGTGTAGCAAGACATCCCTTATTATCAACCAAATCAAGGTTCTCTTCATCCAGCTTAAGCCCATTCATCCTGTGCAACAGCTCAGACTGTAAAGTGCAGGTATGTTTAAACGCACTAGGCTCATGGTAAATGTGAAGTCTATTGGCAGCAAGAAAAGCAGGACGGAAACGGTGCAGTTCACTGATCACATCTTCATCTGCATAAAATAAAAGAAATTACACAAAAATTCTGAAATCAGGCATAGCGACCAACAGATTGTTAATGTAGGGATGTACAAATTTCGGCTATGTTACGCAATGATGTCTGCATGATATTGTGGAGTGAACACCATTCCTCTTCAAGCTCAGAGATCAGTGACTGGGATGTTTTTGGCTCACTACCCTTGATGATTTCTTTTACTCGCTCGAGCCGGTGTTTATCCTTCAGAGAAGAAAACAATATAAATTAGAAGAAAACACACACACACACACACACACACACACAGAGAGAGAGAGAGAGGCACAAAGATTACAGGACATTAAGGATAGGAGACTGGAATATTATTGAGGAAAATAACCCTCAATAGAGCAGCATGGAAGGCAGTATTACATAGGCAATAAAGAATTTTTAGTTATGTCGCAGGCACAAAGCTTAAACTTATTATCCAAAAGAAGGAAAACAGTGTTATTTCCAAGGTATAAGTGTATACGGTTAGGAGATGGGATATTGTTCAAGAGTAAAGGAAGAATCACACAAACAAATGAAAGCAAAAAATACCAAACTAAAATCTCAACATTTAAGAAACCTATTGAGCATTCGCATGTTAAAAACTTGCATCTTTCTCCGTCCTCCCTTGGCCAATTCTCTCTTTACTGCACCAAGCCTTCATTCCTATACTACATTGCAAATGTTTAATTCAAAGGATATTTAGGATCAGGCAATTCCAGCCAGGTTTGATCTTTCAGAACGCGACTGCAGATACTTCCATAATATATAGCTCCCAGGAAATGAATAAGTAACAACTCTTCGTTGTACGCATGGTAGATAAATAAAACTGAGAAAATTAAGCTGCATAAACATTAACTTAAATGGATTTTCATTTCGAGGTAATGGTTAGGATACATCCCCATTCTGAAGAGCTCGCTAAGTTTGAAACTAGGAGTATCTTATGAGCCACTTGCAGCTTGATTAGTCAGTGAGCAAACTGTATGATTTTATGAGCAGAGCTTTCATATGTAAGAAGTAAGAACACTAGTATTATGTTATATACATTGGGAAAGATTTAATTATCTAATCAAATTTCAGGTATTTTCATAAACAGCAAGCAGACTTTATTGTTAGTTAACTACCATCATGAGAAGCAAGGGCTCATGCAAATATAGAAGGATCAAAATGTGTTCACAGAGACCCTCTACCATACTCCCAATACCTTCCCAAATTCTAAAAAGCTTTGTACGCAGTTATACATTAGCTTATCTTCCACTGAGCTTTTGGTGACTACTCATAGGCGATCAACTAATTACCTTAAAAACATGCTGCCAGAATTGAAATGCACACAGGTTGCCAATTAGCGCAGTTTCTTTCTTCGTGGCTTCTAAAGTATTGCTGGAGTTGACATCGAAGTAATTGCTTACATACTTTGTGAACTGTGAAACAAAGATGATATGATAAAGTAAAAAAGAATGCATGTAAGCTAATCATGGATAATACAGGATGAGGTGATACCAAATCTGGATTGCCAAAAGGTTGAAGGATAGGTAAAGGCTGGATATCCATTAGTATGCTAATCAGAATCCCTTGCTGAAGTAACCCTATCTCACCAAACCTGAGAGCAAGAACTGAAGCATCGAAAGATAAAGGTAAACTATCAAGTAAACGACCATAGAATGTAGGCTCATATCTGGCCCTGGGGCTAAAAGTTTGCTCCAGTGCACGAATATGAACAAGAAAATCCAATGCCTCTTCAACAGTGTCCGGGTCAGGGGGATCAAGAACCTTCTGCAACATTGCTAGAAACATGAAAGCCCAAATGTTAGGTTAGGTTCATGATCTGATTTGAACAAAAAGATTGGCATAATGCTGTCTGCACAAATATTGTAAATGGGCTTCTCAGGATAATGCATGTATATGTTTAAAATCCCGAATCTCAATGATACATGTAGACAAGACAACATACTAAAGCATTGAAGTTGTTAGAGAAGCCTTTCTCTTTTAAGCATACTAAAATGTCTCAATGATGCATGTATCCTGATGTGAAATTGATTTGCTGTTTCTTTGATCGTCCAATTACCTAGGGGAAAAAAAGAAAAAAGAAAAAGAGGATAAAAGACCAGTTTTCATGATTGTTATGAAGTACTATAATGCCAAAGCATACTTAAAGGTGCCATCTTGATAGATTTACTAGATTGCAGAATCATCGTAATCCTCCAATTTTTTTTCCCATGTCCAGCTATAAGAAAATTCTTAAGTTGAGATATCTCTAATGAAGAATTAACTAAGTTACATGACCAGCTCTCGATGTGGTAACACTCCCGATATCATGAAAAAATACTTTTCTAATTCTTCAAGCCCAAGACCAGTTGCCACACAAGCCTCCCGCCTAGTCCTAAGCGGTACCTAACCACCTGCCTAGGTCGTAGGAGCACCTAGAGGAGCGAGACCGCTTACGCAGACTGCACTGCTTAGGTCTTGACCATGATTCCCTCCTTTGCTACCTCCACATCCTCTCACATCCTCCGAACTCCTCCGGACACCTCCACCGACTACTGACACCTCTTGCAACTCCTCCAACCTTCAGCAAGACCTCCTCTATCACCACCTAAACGGAAAAAAAAATTCTCCTAAGCCTAGCACCTAGTGTCAAGCACCATTTTGGCACCTAGCGATGCCTAGTGCTTTTGATAAATTTATTGTAATGAAAAAAATAAAGAAGTAGGAAAACACCTAGGCCCCCGCCTAGGCTCTAGACACTGGGTTTGACGCTTAGGCCTCCTAGCGCTTTCCGTAACTTTGTTTACTATGTTAAGATACTAAAATGCATCAGCTCACATGCCTAAAGCTCTAAATTTTGCATTTATAACATGAATCTCACCTCCAAAGTTATACAGATGATATACGTAAAAATTAAAAATGGCTGGTCTTGTCTACCATCTGCGAGAAACTTGATTCATTAATTCAATGATAGTGTATAATTCAAATGACATATGAACCATATCACGGGCTAACCAGTGAAACCCTTTTAGCACATGCAGAAACTAATTTATGAGAAGCCTCCATCACACTGATGATATATGAACCTTACCTGCTTAAACCAGAGTACCAAGCCTAGTTTGATCAACCACAGCATGACAAGACACAATCCAATCTGGTTCCAACCAAACCAATTAGAACTAAAAGTTCTTTCCAAATAAAGCTAAATTAACCTGGAATGAGAGATCTCCGTTTAGACTGAACTAGAATGATAACAGCACAATAGCATATACTTGAAAACCTCAAATGATAACGGACTCTGTCACTCTGGTTAAAACACCAGTGCCCGTAAATCCACCATAGCTAATAACCTAATATACCCTCTTAGGCAATTTCATGAACCATCACCTTGACAGTGACCCATATCATGCATTGTTTTAGGATATGAAAGAAAGAGCTCGGTTATGTCAAAATCCAGTCTTGATAAGAGGAAAGTTGGTTTCTTTATTTTAAAGAGATATCATAATCTGTCATTCAAGGTAACACGAGTCCTGGAATGCTTCAATAAACATTATACAATTTCCTTTACCAATCATATAACATCTACCGGAACCAAGATAGCTGTCATAATTTTTTCACAAAGTATTAAGTGGGAATTTTTTATGTTAACAATCTTATAGAATAAATAATACAACAAAACTTGTTGAAACTTTAACTGCAGATATGGCCACAAGTCTAATATGTTACTTCAGAACATAATATTTATTTTTTCACTTTTTTCTAGTTATAGAGTTAACCTTCCACAAAGTCAAACATGTTATGCAGTTCACCATATTTCGAAGAAGCATGTGCCTTCATGGTCTATTTGCATGCAAAACCAGTTTTTTAGCACAAATCTGTCTTGTTGGTCCTGTTTATAACCATCAAACCAAAAAGAAAAATAAAGGACATGAGGATAAAGTTTCCGGTTATACCAAAGATAACCACCTTATCCAAATATCTTTACTGACAACCCGTTTAATCCCCACTGCCCTTTCCTCATGCATACCGACAGACACAATATCCAGATTCATAGCTAACAAAAAACCCCTTCCAAGGCTGTTATGAGAGACCAGTTCAAAGTTTAATCCACTCTATTGCAGTTAATCTATTAGTGCTATTGCTGTTAATCTATTAGTACTTTAGAAAGACAGCTATACAATACATATGACCTGTGCTATTATGGCATTGTCATTTGATTATGTGTGTGAGCTCCTTGGAAGTAATTTAATCTTTATGTATCTTACACAAGTCATAGAAAGTTGCAGAAGAATTTTTTTTTCATTTTTACATAACTTTCATGACCTTCTTGTTCTTCCCAGTTTATGTAATGTTATGCTTTGTGACTGAAATATTAGATAAACAAAGCTTATGTCTTTTGCTTTCAGATTAACACTTTGCCTAAAACTATGTGTTTGCTTCCTGATTGTGGTCGATGTCTTAACTACTAGAAGCAGCAACTTTACCACGTTAGGTAGGTAGTGCAGGCAAACAAAGATGAGATAAATTCACATGTTACTTTAGATTGGGGGAAAATTTGGAAACTAATTATCTTCTGGACAGGCAGTGAGTGTAATGAATTAGGTGGAAATGGAGCAGGCAATATTTTTTATGTATGACTCATCCACCATGCAAAATGAATTATCAATTTAAATATTAAATGCCGCTTGCAGAAATCCATTCAACAATGTAGTTAGTGCTCTCTGTCATTCAAACGACGAGAAACATTTTCTAGGATTAGACATTGGCCAACATGAGCTGAGTATGACTAGACTTCAATGAACATAGACAGGTGTAAGAAATACCTTTGGGGTCATTAATGGCTTTAGATTCTGCACAACAAATCATGAGGACCTGATGCCTCAATGATAATTTTAATATTGCTGGATGTTCATAATTGCCGAGGCTACTATAAAATGTCCGAGTGACCAATCGATAGATCTGACCATCACAGGTTCGACCTGTCCTGCCTTTGCGTTGTTCAGCCTGCAAAAAGTTCATTACTTAGTATTTGCTAGTGAAAGTTTGCAGTAGAAAATTGGATGCAGAAATACCTGAGATTTTGACACCCAAACAAGCTCTGCTGTGTCATTCTTTGTAATGGGGTCCCAAACGACCTGTAAAGATCTACATGAATCTATGACAAACGCAACCCCTGGTATAGTGACGGATGATTCTGCTATATTCGTGGCTAATATAACCTGCATGAGAACTCATCCATATTTAGATTACAGCTTCCAATTACATAGCAAAACAGATTGGAGTAGTCAATTAAGCAAAATCCTATATTAATATCAAAATGCGCTAACTGCCCCTTTCCATTAGAAAGAGTATTAAATCAGTCGACGAGATTTTAATTTACAGTAGTAATACATCACTGAGATATCAAACAACACCTGACTAAGATGCAAAGATATGAAACTGAAATTTTGAATTAATTAAAGCACGAACAATAGGAAGAATCTAACCAATAAATGCGTTCAAGCTCCCTGGGCTCCACTTGGTGAACCTTTCCAGTATGTGGTTCCTATCATGAACAGCATCACATGTCCGTCTAAAAGTATTATTTTCACTAATGGCATGGACTATATTGTCCACACTCAACCTAACCAAATATGAGAAAGTCCTGTGGCCATATGAATGAAGAGTGTCTACATTTGTTAAAGAGAACACATTTCAGTTAGCTTATTTCTACGTTAATTCTTTAACATTGTAATATGTTTGCATAGCTTCAGTGCACCTAATCGAAGATGTTCAAGTTTTTCAGTTCTCCAATAGACAAGCTCAATAAATGAAAGGGAAACTATGCTTCATCACAAACAGGAAAGGAAAATACATAGCAGCAGCATATATCATGTAACAGTTATTATTTCATTTATTTGATATTATTGCACTCAGTGTATGTGAACCATGCAACTTGTATTCTGTAATCCTGACAGGCACATTAGTTAGATGTGATTACAAGATTAATTTTCCAGTTCTTTCTTTTTTTCTTTTTTTCTTTTTTTTCATTTGATAATAAGTAAAATAGAGTTTCTATCTCCATGGTATATTCTTATAGTAATTAGTGTAAAGCGGACTCTCCGATGCCATCTTACAAACCCTGATAATAAATTTAAGATAAATACTGTCTTACATGACATAACTAGGCAATAAAAACATGCATACCTTACGGTGGGATTCCCACATTTTCATAGCCAAGAGTGCTTGATCAGTGCCAATGCTACTATGAAGGATATGTATTTTGAAACGTGACTTGAATGGCTTTAAAAGAACCCATTGCTTCTCCAGAGCAAAATATGTTGGAAGAAACACTAGTATACTCTTCTTGGTATCAGGTTCGTTTTCATGTATGTGCAAGATTAATGTATGAATAAGCTCGTACACTGGAGGGTTCAAGTCAGCGTCAGCATAACAATTCTGCCCAGAGCAGTAACTTGATGACAATGACTCAGAATTTTCTGGTGCTAACCCAACACGTTCAGCAACCTAAACAGTAGTACATTTTTCAAAGTTGATTAGCAAAAGGACTGAAACCAACAAGAGAAATGGGCTATCAAATATCAGAAAAGGGCTATCAAATATCCCTAAATTTATTTCAATATTATATTACATGTAAGATATTTAAGAAATAATCAAATGTATAGCAGCCATGATAAACTATTAAAACTACTAAGAGACATAAGAATTATAATTGTTAGAATTTATATAAAACCATAATCTTCGATCCTCATAAGTTCGGAGTTTTGGTGCAATGGTTAGAGGGACTTAATGGTATCAGAGCAACCCAGATTCAAATCCCAACGGCCACGAATTTAAAGCAGATCTTCTAAACATTAATACCGATGCGTGAGTCCAAGTTTCGAAAAAAAGGGCGCTCAACGTGCGAGGGCATGTTAGAATTAATATAAAACTATAATCCCCGATCCTCACCATACCTTTGGAGTTTTCGTGTAATAATTAGAGGGACTTAATTTAAGAATAATATGATTCATGTTAAGTATAGAACAAGCTAACACTTGGAGTAGATGACGAAGCAATCATTTAGCAGACAAATAAGCAGCCAACATAGTTACTAGGCTAATGAGGTGTAAACTTGCCGAATACGAATTGGAGCTGTATATCCTGAAAAGTCGTGGAAAGCATTAATCATCATCGAGGAGTTATGCATGCATACATCACAACATCATCTATAAATATGTAACACACTCCATTCCTCAACCCCACCCACCACACTCCACACCCCAATAAAATGGCCACACATACATCACATGCATATCCACAAGCATGCATGGAAATGCATCAGCAAATGCACACACATGGACACCTAGCTATGCACATGCATGTCTGATCTGGGGATATTGTAATTATATAAGGAGGACCAGACGTCAAAATCTGAAGCAAGATAAAAGCCTTTATCCCAAATTCATAGATCCCAAATTCATAGGCGGGCTAGATGAATCTTCTTCTCAATTTGACCTTCAAGGGACAGCTTATTCGAACTTTCCTTTGCAGTCACTACGATTATTCTTTGTTTCAATAATGTCTTATTTGGTTTAATCCTGGTTCTATGATCTATAACAAACATTGGTCCTCGTTGCACATATCCACACGATCTCAAGCTACCCTCCTTGCGTTAGCTACAATAACTCGTCACAAAAACTCAAGTTCCGGAAGTAAAGATACATGTTATGCAGCTCAGAAATGCTCAAAGCAGTTAGCCTGATCAACTTTATATAAAACTAAAAATCAAATGGTTTACATTCACAGTATTCTTATGCGTTGAGCTTTGCGTGCTCCATTATGCACACAACAAAAAGAGGGCTAGGAAGTTTATGTTAACCTCTAGAAATAGGCAAAAATAAATGTTCTTCCCGTCAATTTCAACAGGTTTAACTCAGTATTGTGAGCAGAGAGAGTGAAGAAGCAAATGATAGCGGGAACATCACTTCTAAGTTCAAATTAATAGTGGGAACATCACTTCTAGTTTCAAATTAGTGGTGCAGAAGCCGAGTACTTGCTCTAGAAAACATAATTAAATTGATATTTTAGACTTGATGTAGATTATTGCATTTAAGTCTTGTATAATATACATATATATATATATATATATATATATATTATATATATATATATATATATAAATATATATATATATATATATATATAGAGAGAGAGAGAGAGAGAGAGAGAAATGGGGTATGCTTGGTACCTAGCATAAATTTGTGTTTGGTAGTGAAGTATCTCATTCTCATCCATCCCAACCCATGTGAATGTGGTCCCCATTTGAATGATTGGATGGAATAGGACACCTCACTAACCAGCACAAATTTGTGCTTGGTACCAAGCATACTCATTTCTCATATATATATATATATATATAGTATATATATATTATATATATATATATATATAATATATAATATTATATATATATATATATATATATATATATTGTGTGTGTGTGTGTGTGTGTTGTGTGTTGGCTGAGAGAGAAAAAATGGAGGAACTTGGTACCATGCACAAGTTTGTGCTTGGCAGTGAGGTGTCTCATTCTCATCCACTCTCCAACTCATGTGAATGTGGTGAGTGAGTGGGTGAGAATTAGTCACCTCACGACCAAGCACAAAAACTTGTGTTTGGTACCAAGTTCCTCCATATTGCTCTATAATATATACACACACATACACGTAGAGAGAGAAGCCCCTATAAGCTTTAGTGGATAGGAGCTTCTATTCTAACAATTTTTTTATCCATTGCTTTTACTTTGAGATTGGTGCAAGCATGTGATACACATTAATGCACAAATCTCAAAGATACCCTTCATGTCTAGCACAATTCTCATAGCGAAATCAAAGGTTAAAAAACTCTCTCTCCCCCCACACTAGAATAATGGGTATGCTTGATACCAAGCACCAAAATTGGTGCTTAATAGTGATGCGGTCACTTCTCTTCCATTCATTTAATAGGAGGGTACCCAAAGATAGTCTTGACGTGTATCACTTGAGAACATGAATCACAAAGCAAATCTAAGGCATAAAAAAAGTTGGGCAAGTGCTTCTATCCACTTAAGTTCACATGAGCTTTATGTGTGTGTGTGAAGAGAGAGAATAATGGGTATGTTTGGTATCAAACACAAATTTGGTGTTTGACAATGACGTGGAAGCTTTTCATCCACACATTTAAAAGAGACCATATAAAAATGGTCCCCACTTGATCACCCAACCATTAAATGAGCAGATGGGAAGTGGTCATATCACTACTAAGTACCAAATTTGGTACTTGATACCAAGCCCATGCATCGTATATACGTGAATGTTTGTGTGTGTGTGTTTTGTGTGTGTGGTACTCCTAAAAGAGTAATAATACCGACGCACAACCCATTTTAATCAATTTCTTGTACTCTCATTCCCAATTGCTAAAAATCTATCTATATCAGCTTTGTGTCTAACCTAATTGGTGTGTGCTTACTGTATGTGAGATTCCAAGCGTATGCTCAGTCACTTTTCTAGCGTCTTTACTAGTAGGTGATTTTCTTTTATAAGCATAGATGCTATTATTTTGTCATTACTTGAAGGTGTTAGTGATTATTCATTGCATCCCTACACCATAAGTATCGCATGCACTGAATAAATTATGCAGTGTGATAACTCAATTTCTCCTTATTAGTAGAATTAATTAATTTCTTACCAAGAGCAACGTTGATGTTATTAGTATCAAAATCATTTACACTGTTTGCCAATATTAGAAAATTCTAGGCTTATGTAAAAAGGGTTTCTTACATAGAGACTTGCATGCAACTTTGAAAATAGGTTTTGGGTTGTGATCATAATTGACTGCACTTGTCATCATTCCTGCGACACAATTGGAATAGAGGAAGCGGGAAAAAAAGGAAGAAGAGATAAAAGAGGAAATAGGAACAAAAGAAATGGTGGATCTCTATGAAAATAGTATGTGGATCATACCAATTTTTATAGCCTTTATTTTTGGTGATAACGTTGGACACCAGGGGCGATTGGAAGGGGATGAGAATCACTGGAAATAATGAAGTCAGCAGAGCTATTTGTATTATTCTAGGTTCATCTGAACCATGGGGTTCACGTTAAGCAAAGGAAATTTTTGTAGTAGGAAAAGAAATGAACAAAGTCTTAATATTTATGGTGAGATGTGGGAGTTAAGAAGTTGTCATGATCTGGGTGTTTGTTATATGTAAAAGAAAAGTAACCTGGACACGGGATACTGGTATGAAATATCAATTAACAGCAAATTTTAAAAGTAGGCCGCCTTCTCTTGGAGCCATGTGCATCCTTGGATGATATAAGTATATATTTATATAACAAACTTCCATAGTTCCATATCCTACAATGATCACCTTATCCCTACGACAAAAAGCCACTCTAGTTATTAAACCACCATATTGCTCCCACTTTCAATTCCCAGGTCAAACAGAAATAACAACCAATCCTGAACTAAACTTGGAAAGACATTCAATGTCGTACATACAGTTCACTGCCGCCCCCCAACCCCCACCTCCACCCCCGATATGCACCTCTCAATCACAATTACTAAATGAAACTTACGGATACAACAACGCTAATGAGGTTACAGTGCATTTTACAGATCTGCCTTCCAAATTACACCGAAGTCAATCTGAGATCTAAGGACATAAGACAATCAATCTGAGATCTAAGGACATAAGACAAACAAATGAACCAAAACTTTAATAAAGAACTAAATTAAAGATCAAATGACTTCCTTGTTCAATATATACATCATGAATTTAAATGGCACTCTTTCAACTTGTGTTAAAGTCAAATTGAAGTCTGAAGGACGGAAGTGTTAAAGTCAAATTGAAGTCTGAAGGACGGAATACGGACATAACAACAAGACTTAACATAAAATCAAACTAAATAAAAAGCAAATCACTTGCCTGTTCAAGATATATAACTTCCCGCTGGAAGTTGCTATGTTGTGGGGTGCTTGGAATTGCAATCACTTCGACCCTTTCTCCCCTACCAAGATCTCTGAAGTAATCTCTATATCTTGCAATATCAGCCGTAGCAGACATCAAAACCACCCTTGGCGAAAAACAGATTGTATCAGTCTAATATATAACCTGACTTAAACCAAGAAACACTTCACGTCATAGATTGACCTAAATACAAGAGTTAAAAAGTATTATAGGACTAAATATTTTTAAAAATGTGGAATAAACCAACATATATAAGATGCTAGTGAGCAAAAATGCTAGCAGATCTTAACTACCAAAAGCATGATAAGATAAAAAAGCAGAGATATTTTAGGTTCATACCTCAGATCACTGCTTCTCAACATGAATTGCTTTACACATGCAAGAACAAGATCAGATTCCACAGAACGCTCATGCACTTCATCAAGAATTATAACTTTATATTTCAGCGCAGCAAGACCCCTATCCCTCATTTGTTCCAATAAAACGCCAGCAGTTTTGAAAACCAATTTTGATCTGCGATATAATGATGATGAAGTGTTTTTAAGGATGAAATAGCACATACAAGAGCCAGGAAAGAATGGAAAGAAGTTGTACACAAGATGGAAACTAAGAACAACGAGACTGCACTCGAGATTATTTTTTTACAGATGAGTAATTTATATCCATGAAGGTAAAAGGATAAAATGCATAAAATATTGTGAATTTCATTAGTAACTCAGTGACTTCGTGTATAGCAAGTAGCCAAAGGAATAATGAATCTTAACACTATGTGAAGGCATGGAATAATTGAGTCTTAAAATTCCATTCAAGTGTCACATGATGTACAAGACATGAGAAGATAGAACATTATACTTCACTTAATAACATTATGGTTACCAGAACAAAGAAAAATTTAAGAATAGTAAACTAGCTAACTGCTTGATGGTAATAATAGTATACCTTGTTGATGTGACATTCGTGATATTTGAATGGCCAATATGATATCCAACCTCACCACCCACCTCACAGTTACGAGCTTCAGCAACCATCCTTGCAATTGTTACAACAGCGAATCTTCTAGGCTGAGTACACACTATGGGTTCCATATTTTCTTCTAGGAGGAATAGTGGAACTTGAGAACTCTTTCCTTTTACATGATGGTCAAAATTCCAGTCAGTCAACAACAGAAAGGTCATAACATTAAGTCAAGCAAAGTTGGTCTATGGACCATCTGGAGACAATCACGTGCAAAATCACAATGATGAAAACAATGGTTAAGTAAACTCAAAATTACAAATAGAAGGAATCTTTTTCGCAATATATAATCTGTTATGTATAACTTCAAAACTGGGGAGTGCTTTACATGCTGTCGAACCTTTTGAACTGTAAAACACCTTATTATTTTAAATGTTGTAGTGAAAAGAGAGATGTTTTTGGGGGGAAATAATATACTTGATGACTCATTAAAGATGTCAATGAAATAGAAACTCGAGACGGAAAAAAAAGGATTAGAAAGTACATCGCATCATTTTCTGAACATATGACCTTTTACAAAACAAAATCCCATTAACATTTTTAAAATTTTGAAATTAATTTTTACTCTATTCACATGCATTTGCTTGTATGAGTTAAAATTTCATAATAAAAGAGGTAGTCCTTGTCAATGCCAATCAAAGTAAGAGAACTCCAGTAATCCACTAGGATTAACTTTTGTAGTGCTGAATACCAGATGTCATAAAAAACACAATATATTATTGAAGATAGGATACTTACTTTGGAACTTATAAAAAGTTGGTAACAGTAGTCTCTCTCATATATATTACAAGTTTGAAATAGACTTGTGGTCTCCTGAAGTATCTAAAACAACTATATTATGCACATCCTTTATGAAGTAAACTATAAGCATGAAGTTGACATTCCTAATACATTTCAAATCCTTCATTTATTTCTAATCCAACAATAAATAAGGTTATTTACATTTGTTCTGATAGTTGTTACCGCTGTCTTCTGGTTGACTATGAGTAACAGCTGCAAATTGTAACATTGTAGTAATTGTGCATACAAAGTGCTAAAGAGAGATAATCATTTGTTTATCTCTCTCATATACAACAATCCGACTTGAGAAAGAATATTCCCTACCTCCTGCCCTCTAATCCATGCACCATATGATATGCAAGAGAGTGTTTTTTGATAGATTCATCCCAACTTACCACTAAAACTGATACTAGAAAAGTCATTTGTCATGCCTAATAATAACATAGCAGTGATAGCGTCTGCCAAGATTTGCCTGTTAAGTAGCACAGAACATTGCAAATTTTAGTAGTAATCTATATAAGAGTGCTTGTGATGGATAGGTATAGAACTGAACATACCCAATTTTAGCAGCAATAACTACACGCACTCGCGGAGCT